GGATTTTAAAAAGATGACAAAGGATGTAAGGAACAGCTGGTGGCATATTCGTTCTTAGCATCCCAGATATCGAAGAAAAAAACGAAATGCTTCTATAGCCTGGATTGATTACCAAAAGGCATACGATTCAGTTCCTCACAGGTGGTTAGTAGAAATATTAAACATGAATAAAGTAGACATCAAAATTGTAGACCTGTTAGAACATCTAATGAAAACATGGAAGATGCAATTACATTTTTCTAACTTTAGTCGTTCCAAGATTTTTATACCAATCAACAGAGGTATATTTCAAGGAGACTCTTTAAGTCCATTATTGTTTTGTCTGGCCTTAAACCCTTTTACAATACAGGTCTTCTTAAACAACCACCATATAGAATAAGGGAAGTAATTTAATAAAAAACATTTTTTTTTTTTGGCAATTAAATAATTCCATTAATATTTGTTTGTTAATACAATCAATATAATTTACCAAAAACGTTATTATAGCACTATAATAATGCCATTTATGAGTACTGAATGATGTGGCAGAGGCCTGTAGGCACTTACGCCAGTACCGGTTTTCCGTCAATTAAGTGCTTTTTTGATGGAACTGCTTAAAATATTTTACAAAGTAATTAGTGTTTTAGAAAGCGAAATATATTCTTCAGATGTTTTATTTCAGCACGTTTTCTGTTATTTTTGGCCGTTTATTACTAACAACCTTGATTTTTATCTTGAAAATTTTGTTGTTGAAAAAATTGACTTACTGGTGTTTTTTATTGCCTTAGCCAATTATTTTTTAATATTTTTCCATGGTTTATTATTCTCTGACTATTCAGCTTTAATAAAAGGCCAATTATGGCGAAATTAATCCAAATGCTGATTCTTAGTGAACAAAAAAATAACTAAAGTCGTCAGTCCGCCATGTTTGAGGCAGTGCGTTCACTTTTTTTTTTTATTGTGGGAAAAATGTATTTTTAGTAGGAAACAGTTTGACGATTAAAGGAACGGATGGATGCGGTGGAGCCCCAGTAAAGGAGCACAACCGCATACCGGGCCACTCCACAGTTAATCCAGTCTTTATTTTATAGTTCCCAAAAAAAAAAAACCTATAATATTGTAAAGAAAAAAAAAAAAAATCAATAAAATGTTGCTTATTGGTAGCAGTGGGCATACGTGAATCCCAACGTATTAATTAATACACTGCTGCCAAAATCCCATACGGCAGCAATGCCAGGTAGGAAGAAAAAAAAAATATTAAGAGCCATAAGTCAGTAGAGGTAAGTACTGTCTGTGACAAGGATCCCTTCCTCTGACTTGCATGCTGCAGATTTAGGTCTAAATAGTTTTCAGCGATGCTATTATCTGTTGAAAGAAATTCTGATGTTTTTCCTCTCTAAAGAAGTTTTAGATTTCTTTCCAATATTCAATGGATTTTTTAAATATTTTATTCATAAAATATGAAAAACATTGCTGATTGTATTAAACAAATTAAAATGAATAACAAATTATAAAATTCAAATGATGATTCCAGTAAAGTAGGCTAAGTAAATTTTTGTTATGAAAAATTAATTAATATTCTTTTCTAAGGTTTTATAAAACTCTTAAATACTGATTTGTTGAGAAATAAAAAAATATAAATTTCTGGACTTGATTTTATGAAAGAATTTTTTGCTGTTCGTATAACATTAAACTCCTCAGGATTTTTTCTTGATTCAACAATACTAAAACTGTTGAAAAGCTGAATTATAGCTACTCCAAACATTAATAAATTTTATGAGGAGTTGATCGGGGGGTGCGGTCAAATAAATACTAAATTAAACAAATATATTTAATTTTTGCCGACGTTTCGACCCACTTTGCAGGTCTTCATCAAGGCTACAAAAGATACAAAACATGGTGAAAATATAATAAATGAATATAAGGAAAATAAAATAAGAAGAAGTTGTCTGATATAGAAATAAAGTGGTGATATCAGAGATATAGTGGGTGATAATGTAGTTAAAATACCAAGTATTATATGTAGAAGATACAAACAAAAATGGAAAATAAGTATGAATAAAAATAGAAAATAAAGGAGAATATAGCATGTAAGTTAAAAGTAAACAGACTGCGATAAAAGATAAGGAATGAGTGTATAACAAACTAATAAAGATTACATTTGATAACTATAGGTTAACAGATAAAGAAATAAGTAAATTGAATAAGTATTGATAAAGTAAAGCTAAAATAAGAATAAGATAACATAATAATAAGGTATCAATGGATAACAAGCTAGTCGAGGTTACATTTGATAACTGTAGGTAAATAGATAACGGGACTAAAGGTTAAGAATTAAAGAAATTGAAAGATTAATAGGATAACATTAGTGTGATATCGTTAGGATAGATTATTAAGTATAAATAACTGTAGAAAAAAAAATTTTAAGAAGAGAAATTTAGAATGAAAGTATAAATTTAAAACAAGGTTATGATGATAAAAACAATTTGTACTATATATACATGACAATTGACATTCAGTTTTTTGAAAGAGGTAATGGAATAGTAGGCTGCATGAAGATAATAATAAGGTGTATCGTTGAAAGATAGGTGTGTTAAAAAAAGAATCATAATAAAAGCCAAAACATACCGTAGGATGTAGCACTGCGGGAGGCAGTTGAAACACTGACAGTGTAAAAACAGCTCTAGTAAAAATAAATACATACACACACACACACACAAACAAATATATATATACATACATATCCATATTAATATATATATATATACACACACAAACATAGATGCATATATACATATATACACACACGCATACATAACACCTAAAAAGTGAAAGGAAAAAAAAAAACGTAAAAGGAATTATAAATGGAAGTGAGAAGATTTGATAGATGTTTATGATTGAGAATTTTTTAAAATGTTGATAATTTGGGAGTAGGCGAGAGACAGGTTTTGTTTGTCTGTTTTTAAGTTTAGTGGTTTGAAGTCTAATTGAATGAAAACACTTTCCGTAAGTAGTCTTTTGTCATGGTTAGGTACTGTGGCAAGAATGGAGGTGTTGTCAAAGTCAAATGTGTGGTTTGAGAAAAAGGCGTGTTCAGAGAGTTTAGAAGCAGTAGAGTTCTTGGAAGTAATTGCGTATTTGTGTTGTTTGATGCGATCTTTAAGTTGGTTTTTGGTTTCTCCAATATAAGCAGAGTTACAATTGGGGGTAGAGCAAGGAATGCGGTATACGACATTAGAACGATGTTGCAGAGGGATGGGGTCTTTTAGGTTGGAGTAAATATTGACAAGTTTGTTGTAGTTTTTAAAAGCAACTCACAGGTTGGGGATGGAGGAACGCAAGGATTTTTGAATTTTATCAGAAATAAGAGGGATGAATGGTAGAGATCTATATAAAGGAATGGAGGACAGATTTTGAGAACTAGAGAAGGGGATGGAGGATGAGAGGTGGGTTTTGTAGTCAGTAATAAGTTTTTTAATGGTGTTTGAGAGGAAGTTGTTAGAAAGTAATATCTGTTGTATGCGTCTTGTTTGTTTCATGTAGGCAAGGATCAGATGGAGAAAAACATCAGTGAATGAGGTTAACATACAACATATACACATACAGCTAAAACATACAAAATATATACATAGATTATAGATATATTAATGACACTATGAGCAACGGGATCATGATATTGCATTATCCCGGCATACAAGATATAAAATAACAATAAATAGATAAATACAATTAGAAAGGGGCACTAAATTAATTTTATGAGAAAGCAATTGTGACAATAATAAACAAAAAATAAAATAAAATAATGGTATATGAAAAGAAAAGAAAAAAAAATTATCCTTGTTACATAATACATAATTAACCAGCATCTGATTGGATTGTGAAGAGGAATTGGAATTGGAGAGTTTTGAATGTGGATACCGATGGTGCATGGCGGATTTTAAGTGGGATGGAATTCCAAAAGGTGGAGGAGCGGACAATAAAGGAATGTTGAAATGAAGCAGATCAATGGAAAAGGGTGTAAAGGTCAGAAAGATGAGATCTTGTGGAGAGGGAGTGGATAGATGATTGTATAAATGTATGTGTATAAATTGGAGATTTTATACATAGGATGGGCAATGATCGTTGATTATTTGATAAAGAAATGTGCCAAGGAAATATTGTCTACTGAAAGAGGGAAAGAGCCATCCTAACTAGGCATAGCAGTGAGAAACACGGCAGCGTCTCGGGGTCCCGTCAACAAATCTTGCTAAGCTATTCATAATTCTTTTAAGTCTGTCCCCGAGTTCCACCAAGAGGACGCCATACACCACGCAGCCGTAGTCAAGGTGGGGGAAGATGAGGGAGGATACTAGGAGTTTACGTGTAGGTATGGGAAGGAGATGACGAAAGCAATGGAATAGTTTAAGGGTACAAGGTCGAGAGATGTGAGCTTTTGTGACTGTCGAGAGATGTGGCTGTCGAGAGATGTGGGCTTTTGGTCAGTGAAAATGCCTAGGTTTTTAAATGAGGAGCTGAAGGTGATGTGATGGTTATTTAGATACAGAATAGGAACGTTGGTATTGGATTTGAGGAGGGGTTTGGGACCAATAATGGTCTCTGTTTTATTAGCGTTTAATCTTAATCCATTTATGTTTGCCCAGGCTCTGATACGATTTAGATCTTTTTGGATTTTGGCAATGTATCATGCAACTCTGAGGGAGGGAAGGAAAGGAAAGGAGGGATACTATAATAGTAAATTTTGGTATTAACCTACATGTTGGGCTTTGGTTGGTTCATACAGGTATTAATAGTTAGCAATGCTAAAGTTTGGGGATAGGTCATTTGTATGTACTTTAGATAAAACAGGTTAGTCTCGGAATTGAATTAGGAATATTAACATGATCATGTGGCAACCAATCATGTTGAAATAACACTTGTTAAGTAGTACCGAAAATACAAGTAGTTTTTAATAAATAATGGAGGATTAATTTTAAAGAGAATACCACACCTTAAAAATTAAAAAAATACATATAAAAACTCACTTGATATTGTTATATTTCCTGTAACCCTATCTAGAATAAGGCTATTATCCATATCTTGAACAGGTTCGATATAAAACTTCTCAGACGTTATGGTGCTGTAACATAATTGTTGTCAAACAAAATAGAGCAAAATAAACCAATTATCTCAATTTTAACGTACAGGAGCATTTCACCATAAACATTGTTTCCAGACATAATTAACCACACTTAATTTGCAACTATGCCCGTAATTAGAATTAACTAAAAAACAACTAATACATAAAAATGTAATTTGAAATTTTGAAGTGGTCTGACAGCTTGAACAACAGAACCTCGTTCACGTTATTATAACCTGCATACTTACAACTAAGTAGAATTGTTGGGATATTATCGATAACGAAAGATAACGTTATTTTGTTTTCGATTAAGCCTGAAATCGAAACACAACACGGGATTCGATATAACGTAATATCGAATGAAAAATGCCAATTTCGGATTTCGAAATCGTGCATCTTTTTTATTCAGATGTTTAAATAATTTTTTTTAATTAAATGCAACTATTTTAAACTTAATAACCTAAATACATTTATTTAAGTATGAGTATTCATAAGCGCCGGAATTAAGGGGGGGAGGGAGGAAGGCACTTTATACCTCCCCAATATTTCCAAGGCATAAGTGTGAAATCACAGTTTACTGATTAAACTTATATTGAAATTTATTGTATATTAAAATAAAATATTGATAATATTACATATATTATATAATAATTATGTAGCTTCTTTAAACAACATTTTTGTTAAATTCATTATTAATAAGGAGGTATGGTTTCAGTTATAAATTTAATATTTGATTGGGGCCCGAAAAAAATACCCCTTGGAGCCCCTTATTTCCTGTCTTCGTCCCTGCAGGGGTTATTTGAGTTTACTTAATTTCGAATTCATTTTTCATTGATATTGCAAGACTTAGATGATTTTGAGAATTTATTTATTTATAATTGGCTGGTTTATGGTGATCGGCTGTTTAGAGTGTAGTGGGGATAACAAGAAGGTAGGTTAAGGATAGTCATAATTTCATATTAATATATATTTTCATTATTCCTGGATTTTCAACTTATTTCTATTTCTTATTTAAAATATAATAGTGAAAGAAAAACTTTCCGTAAGTCATTTTAGTTCGTTAATTATTTAATAACTAATTCAGAAATATGCGGCTTTACTTCAATGAATGTTTAAAGCCCACCTTAAGAGACCCTTACACGGTGACTATTATTAAATCAATATGACTTTCGTCAATATATTGACCGTGTAAGGGCTACATTGGCATCAATTATATTGACGTCAAAAAAACTGGTTGATATGAATATATCTTTATTTTTATTGAAGCTCCTTCAATATATTTGAAACAGTTTCAATATAATTATACTTGCAACGGCTATATTGAGCAATTTTAAACTACATATACGGATTTTAAGAGGCTCTAGGCGATACCAAATTCCCTGTGCCCTCCAGGCAATATGTTTAAGTAGGGAGGATTATACTTTTTTTTGGATGGGGTTAATTCCCCTTCCGATTTTTTTTTCAATGATAAAATGGACAAATGTTTTGATAGGTTGGTGATAGTTTCTTTTACTTTTATAGTCGGAATATTTACTCCCCCCCTCCCTCACCTCCGATTTTGTTCTTAAAAGATAAAACGGATATACATATGATTCGGTAGGTGGGTGATACTTTGTTTTACTTGTATTATATTTTTAGGGAGGGGAAGGGTAGAGGGGTTAATCCCCCTCCAATTTTTTGTCAAAAATATAAAACGGTTATATGTTTCTTTAGGTGGGTGATACTTTGTTTTACTTTAATTTTTATTTTTTTGGGAAGAGGAGGGGAAGGAGTATCCACCCCCTCCGACTTTGTTTTAAAGATGAAATGGCAGTAGGTGTGGATAGGTGGATGATACTTTTTATTCAAAATTTAACTTTTTTTTATATTACTAAACTTTTTTTTAAATATTAAATAATTAGGGAACAAAAATAGAACCAATTTGAAACAAAAAAAAAGTTTTAATGTCTAGGAACAAAATAAACAAAATTTTAATGCTAAAGCCAAGGCAATTACAGTAATCGCAAATTCATTATTATTCATTTCCACAAAAAAAAAAAAAAATAAATAAGATTACTTCTTTGGAAACCTTCTTTGGTGGAAGCAAGATCTTAACTGATATAAAATTGATCCGTGTGAAATACCCCTTCAATATATTGTCTCCAATAATATTGCTTCAATAATATTGGCTCAGTAGTATTGACCGTGTAAGGGGTCCTTTACACGGTCAACATCATTGAGTCAATATCGAATATATTGACCATCTGAGGGATATATTGTAACAATTATATTGACCTTTGTACTATGTATACAACGTTCAAGAATATTGCTTCAATAATGTTGACCGTGTATGGTTGGCTTAAGTCATCTAAAGCAAAGTTGGGCAAAAATTATCTATAGCTAACAGCTAACAGCTAAATTAGCTATTAGCGGGCAGATAATTCTGCAACTAAATTAGGGACCAAGAAGCTAACTTTGAGCTTAAGTTAATTATTAGCTTTTTTTATAGCTAACTGGTAATCAGCTTTATCTACAACTTTAACTAAAAGCTAATAGCTACCTTTTCGGATTTAATTGATCTTAGAGTCGACTATAATGTTTTCGGGGGCAGTTTTTATTAAAATACTGTCGAGTTTGAGATAATGCCTCCGGGCACCGACTTTTTGTAACTTTTAGGATTTAATCGATATAAGGGTCGACTATTAAGTTTTGGGGGGCGCTTTTTATAAAAATAATGTCGGATATGAGATATTACCACGGGCACCGAGATTTGGATCTTTAGGATTTAATCGATATTAGGGTCGACTAATAGGTTTTTGGAGTAGCGCTTTCTATGAAAATAAATTCGGAATTGAGATAGTGCCCCCGGGCACCGACTTTTTGTAGCTTTTCTGATTTAATCGATATATGGGTCGACTATTAGGGTTTGGCGAGCACTTTTTATGAAAATAATGAAAAATAAATCAGAAAAGCTACAAAAAGTCCATGCCCGGGGATACTATCTCAAATTCAACACTATTGTCATAAAAAGCGTCCCCTCAAAACCTAATAGTCGACCCATATATCGATTAAATCAGAAAAGTTACAAAAAGTCGGTGCCCGGGGATACTATCTAAAATCCGACATTTTTTTTTATAAAAATCGCCGCCAAAACATAATAGGTGACCCTGATATCCGTTAAACCCGTAAAGTTACAAAAAGTCGGTAGCCGGGGATACTATCTAAAATCCGACATTTTTTTACTTTTTAGTTAAGTTAATAGTTAATTCAGCTATAGCTAAAAGTTAGCTGTTCGTTTACGCTAATAGCTAATTTAGCTGTAAAGTTAACCGCGATAAAACAGTTAGAAGCTAAATTAGCTAATTTTAGCCGTTTAGCTGAACGTTAGCTAGTTAAAAATTAGTTCCCCGACGCCCAACTCTGATCTAAAGTTTAAGAAGAATGTAAATAGAAATAGAAATACAAAATCAACTTCATTCTGAGACCAATATTGTTCCAATGTCAATATAGAATAACAATATTGTTCATACATACATACATAGTTGGCGCAACAACCCGTTACCGGGTCTAGGCCTCCTCCAAAAGTCTCCGCCAGTTGCCTCTATCAGTTGCTGCAGCTCTCCAGTTCCTAACGCCGAGGAGATTGCGTGCGTCCGCTGTGTCGAAGTCAGCCCACCTCACATTTGACCTACCCACTCTTCGCTTGCCATGAAGCTCTTTAACCAATGTCATCTTAGGGATCTCGTCCTCCTTCATCCTTGCAATGTGGCCCCAAGTTCCCCAATGCCCAACTTTGATCTGAAGTTCAAGAAGAATGTAAATAGAAATATAAATACAAAATCAACTTCATTCTGGGACAAATATTGTTCCAATATCAATATAGAATAACAACATTGTTCATACAAATTAATATTAAATATAGCAAAAACAAATGACCGCTAATAAAAGTCAAAAGAGACTTCTCGACGCGCAATACCAGATGGCAGGAAAATGAGAGCCACCGAATTTATCAGAGCGAGAAGATGACCCTCAGCAACAAACGTCTCTACTGGCTTGACCGGCAGAAGAGAGCGGAAGGGAAAATAAAATTCGTATTGTTCGCCGTCGATAGGGTGCGATGCCTAAAAGAATACAAGCAATCTTTATTGCCCAAGTCTCAGATCTCAACGTGTTTGTCTGACTGCTGGGGTTTCGTCGATCTTCCGTTCTCTCCAGAATGTTAGTACAACTGGCTCTCAACTAATTCACGCGTCTTTGTCTTCAAGATCATCTCATAATTTTCATTTATTTATTTTTAATAACCTGTTTTTCGTTTATTTTCTTATATACTCTTTCCCCCTCATTTTTATTAATTCTCAATGTTATCTAATGTATTATACCTGTTCCTATCTCTCTCCGCCATTCTCTGACTGTTCTCCGCCAAATCCTTTCCATGTCTAATTTCCTAATCACTTGTTGCGGTAACTCCCAATCCCTTCCTGCTCATTACTAATTCCTGCAGTACTTCACATAAAACTTTTATCATAATATCGCGGTATCTGAAACCTGGCTCAAACCTTATATGCCGTTCTCTTTTGTCTCTCTTCCTAAATACAACTTCCTCCGCTCCGACCGGGTCAACCGGACTGGCGGTGGTGAAGCTATCTTTGCCCATTGCTTAGGCAACTTTCCAAATTTTAATTAAGGCAAGGCAAATAACTCTCATGAGTTCTTAATAGGCAACATTCAAATTATTGGCAACATTCTAATTATTTAGACTGTGGACTGTATTTCAATGGATTGGTAGTTTACCATTTCTATGCTGTCTTAGACATCCTATGGTTACCTGAGGGCGCCTTTGTGCTGGTGTTGACTCCGTATGTTTGGACAGTAATGTGGCAGTCATACCGGATTAAAAGTTATCTTTTAGATCTTTTAATTTACCCTCACCTTTCGCCGCAAGGAGAGAATTGGGAACTATATTTGCACAAACATCCACGATAGCTTAAAAAATCGAATCTTCGATCGCTCCCCACCCTCCGACCATTCCCAGGTTGAGTATCTTACCGTCGACATTTTCTGCAATACTTGTACACTTCTCTTGAATCAAGCCTGTCCAAATTTTTTTCCCCTCTACTCTAGAATAATTATTTCTGATGACCTAAATACCTTTCTCCTCTCAGATACTAATGATAAATCCTACCTAGAAAACCTATTTTTATAGCTTCACCTCTTCATTGTCCCCTTTTCTCCACTCGCCACACCTACAGGTCTGACACTTGGTTAGACCTCTTCA